GCAGACTTGGAGCCAGGTGAAGACTCTAGCAGAGAACCGAACGCAATGGAGACGCACGGCTGAATCCCTATGTTCCTCTAGGAATTAAAGGAAACAATAATAATGCATTCAGATCAAAACTAGTTGAATATTGAAATATCAGCAGCATTTTTAAAGGAACTAATACTGCTGATATGTACCCTAAACACACGATCCACAATCAATGATATCATTTAGAGACAAAAGAACGGGATCTCTCTGGGCTCCACTGATAGCAGACTGTTTCATGTCAGTTCTCAAGAATGGTCCATTAAAATTAACTGTTGATAATTTACAATTCTACACGTGGTATGCTGACGACATATATTCATTATTTGTGTTCATGACTGATAAAATCGTTTGGAAGGTTCTCTTTGCTGAACTACTTGTTTTGTTTTCTATCAATGCTTGGATGGAGATTATTAGTGAATTAAAGAGTAGCAAGGACACGCCTTGACAGTCATAGAACTCAACAGGTTTCTGCGTTATTCTGTTAAGCCTGCTGTAGTGAACACGAAAACTACTTCGTTCGAAATGTTTTTGTGCAAATAGTCTGTACAATTCAGACTAATTAAATCTGTTTCTGTGTTTTATCAAAATTTCTAAAGGAAAATAATTGTTTCTAGATGTTTCTGCCTTTTTATTGATGTAACTCAACTAAGTGGTTAATATTTTAGAAGAAAACTGGAAGGAAGGCATCACTCAGCATATCTCCGGCTTAACTGTCTATTGGTTATGCTATACAAATGGTCTAGCTCTACCGCACGTACAAAGAAACTGGTACTTATATACAGATAAAAAGTGTCTATGAAGTGTCGTCTGCGAAACTAAGCATATCTTAAAGAAAGCCAACATTTATTAACCCCATTACAAATATCTGTTACCACAAAACTGTTTCATTATTGCCTAGTTTGAGTGGGTAGTTGACAATGATTACTGTTATTATTGTTTCCTGTAATTCCTGGTGGAACGTAGGGCTTCAGTCACACGTCTCCATTGCGTTCGGTTCTCCGTTGACGTTGTCACCTGGCTCCACGTCTGCCCACATGTTTTCGTCTCCTCTTCATATCACCTCCTCCTCCATGTCATCCTCGCACTGACGACCAACTCGCCTCCTCCCATTTGGGTTACACTCGAGCAATGGCCTGGCGTGTGATGTTACTTGATGGTTTGTTTTCCCAGAGTATGGCCAATCCATCTCCATTTCTTCCTGCATATTTGTTGCACAATCGGTTCCTGCTGGATTGGTTCGTTCATTGCTAGAGATCCCTCACTATTGCTGATCGCCGGCCATCTGATCCTGAGTATTGAGCAATGACAGTTGTTGATGAAGTTCTGTAGTTTGGTATTAGTGGCCTTCATGATCCGCCAAGTCTCTGATCTGCTTAGTAGCACTGACTTCACATTGGAGTTGTAAATCCGGATCTTGTTTTTCATGCTGAGTGCTGTTGACCTCCACACAGACTTGAGAGTAGTAAAAGCTTGCCTTGCTTTCCCGATCCTCATTGCTTTGATATCCTCATCAGTTCCATCCGCCTGTAGTTGAAACGATGCTTCCTATGTAAGTAAAGGAGGTTGCTAATATAGACAGATATATAATGGAATATCCTTTATTGGCGATAGGGTGGCCAAGGTCAGTCCGGAAATAAACCAATCAGAATCGACCCACGTAAATTAACGCCCACTATTTTATTGATCATGATTACAGACTATCTGAAATAAACATACCAAGCGAAATAATAACCAAGAAGTTGAGAAAATTCATTCATTCATCCCGGTAAGCTGCAATTTATATTTTCCACACCACCCGTCGTGATTCTCAAAGTGAAAAACGAAGCACCTTGGCCAGAAAATTTCTGATTGTATCTATCAATCCAAATGCTCCTGTCAATCCAGTTATATTGACCGTTGCTCTAGGAACCTAATTTTAATCGGCCGGGAACACTTATCAGTGTGGCTAAGTAAAGGTGTTGTGTATTGGATAACTTCGTCGTCAGACGGGCCACCAACTATCGGATATCCAGTAAATCACCAAATGTCTCTAAATACCGAACTTTGCAATGAGCAGAGGCTACTGAAATTTGCCTAAATCAACTGGAGCTTTGTGTGCAAAAGAAGCAGGTTCAGCCAGGCAGTGTTTTACCGTGGCCTGCTGTCGAACTTATAAATTATGTGTGTTAACTTCTCTTAATTTATCAGATATTCAATCAGTTTAGTGTTATATGTTATGCATATTATCGGTCACCTAAGTGTAGACGCTGATGACAAATTCATCGAGGAAAATATTCTTTATTCATTAGTGAGCCTTTTGAAATTTTTAATGGGCATCTTCACTGAATTAACTGACACGTCCTTGGTGATCTTTTGAATTATATATTATTTGTGTGTAAAATCTACTGTCGCCGATACTGAAATACACTGTTCAGCTCACATCGTTATGTGTTCTCACTTAAGTAGAGCAAGCTGGAAGGGGAGGGGGAGAACAGGTAGCCTTCGTGTATAGTGTTGTTGTTAGCGTAGTCAAGCTGTATTTGTGAACAGCGCATTAGTGTCCAACTCGACGGCGTCCCTATTTCTAATCTTAGTGTTACTGTGAAATGTAAGAGTGGTGACAACATAACAGGTACTCACTTCGATTGTATAAAATATCTTAATATACTTATGAGCAACAGCAAACCTCATTTAAACAAATAATTCAACGTATTATCTATAATACACAGGAAAGATAGATATAGATATCTGTGGATAAAGTGAAATAAAATATAGTTATTATTATTATATTATTGTTTCCTTTAATTCCTAGAGGAACATAGGGATTCAGCCGTACGTCTCCATTGCGTTCGGTTCTCTGCTAGAGTCTTCACCTGGCTCCAAGTCTGCCCACACGCTTTCATCTCCTCTTCACATGACCTCCTCCAAGTCACCCTTGCACTGACGACCAACTCGCCGCTTCCCTTTCGGGTTCCACTCGAGCGATGGCTTGTCTAGTGTATGGCCAATCCATCTCCATTTCTTCCTGCCTATTTGTTGTAAAATCGGTTCCTGCTGGGTTGGTTCGCTCCCAGAGATCCCTCACTATTGCTGATCTTTTCTGGCCAGCCATCTGATCTTGAGTATTGAGTGAAGACAACTGTTAATGAAGATCTGTCGCTTGCTTGAAATGCTCTTTATGACGCGCCAAGTCTCTGATCCGTATAGTGAGTAGCACTGACTTCACATTGGAGTTGAAAATCTGGATCTTATTTTTGATGCTGAATGATGTTGACCTCCACACAGACTTGAGAGTAGTGAAAGCTTGTCTTGCTTTCCCGATCCTCGTTGCTTTGATATCCTCATCAGTTTCGTCCGCCTGTAGTTGAAACGATGCTTCCCAGGTAGGTAAAGGAGGTTGTTTAATAACCTTATAGTTGAATCCTTTAACTGTAATCAAGTAACTAGACCTGTGATCTTGGCCAACCTAAAGAATAGACACCACAGAGTGCGAACGCACGAATGACCTTGAACGCAGATCATTCGTTGAATTACAGAACCTGTCGTTATTACAGCGCGTCAGATTGAACACTGTACATGAATTGATGTGCGAATTTCAGTCTGATCTAACTGTTAGTTACTGTTTAGTTTGATAGAAAGTTAGGCTTAGGATTAGGGTTAAGTATTAGGGAAACGATTAGGGCTTCAACATTTTATCATTTTCAAGAGTTTTTTTGTAGAGGTTTGATTTGTTCCAAGTTTGTTCACGGATTGATATCAGCTAGAGAACTATTGAAAACTACGGAGCAGAAGAGTATTGGACAGCTGTTTCGTTCTAGAGCTTCAGACTCATCGATAGCATTGTTCTTATGAATGAATTAATAGGAGGAGAATGTTTCGTTGTTCATATTAGGTGAAACCGTTTCGATAGCTATAAAACTTGAAAACTGATAACCTTCATTGTAACTGAGACCTAGTTTTCCGTTACATCACGGTAAAGTATTGTCTTTAATGTGTTTCACTATTGTTATGTTAATTTTTCCCGTAAATAAAACGACTTCTTGGCGCAGATGCAGTACGCGTACTGATGATGAGTCCTAAGCTAGGACGAAACAAATGTCCAGTATTTCCAGGTTTTTCAAAGATCTAGAATAGTCGACATTTTCTCAAAGTTGTAGATGCATTATACCGACTATTGCTAACAAGCACGAATTATAAGTTTATGATTTCTTGCTGATTGATTTCGAATTACCAGTGATAGGTGTTAAACAGTCCAACCCACCTCAGTGACTTGTGAAGGCTTCATCAGCAATATAACCCAAAAGTATATTCATTTTTCGAATTATACATTATTTGGGTGTAAAATCTACAGTCGACGATACTGAAATATACTGTTCAGCTCATATCGTTGTGTGTTCTCACTAAAGTAGGGTGGGCTTGGGGAGGGAAGTGAACAGGTAGCCTTCGTGTATAGTGTTGTTGTTAGCGTATTCAAGCAGTATTTGTGATCAGCGCATTGGTGTCCATTTCACAGGCGTCCCTACTTCAATCTCAATGTTATTAACGAAAGAAGGAAATTGGCAAAATCTCATAACCATCAGTAGTTAGGAGCAATATGTCATCCTTAAAGTTCTACATTGCTGTTTTCTTTCTAATAATTAACAATATTCTATTCGAAATACCCACTACAGTCCTACAGGAGGTCAATCGCCAGCCCGAGGAACTATCTCAGTGATAACGTCTGTGACTGCAGCACTCCCTGGGTGATGCGGGTTCGAATCTCTGAAGGGACATGAGTCCCTTCAAGGAAGTTGCAGATACGCCTTGCTGACTGGTGAGTGTCAACTTACACGAAACCTAGGTCGAGCAAGCCTTCCTGTGGCCGATTGCCTCCAACCATCTAATAAAATCATCAAACATTCTATTGTATTGTTCGTTGCAAAAAAAATAACATTATCAACAGGATTTAAATGAGAAATCTTATAATATTACAAAAAGTGAAATTTTTAATATGATGAAATCGTACACCAAATGTTGTTTTTTCTATTCACGGTAAAATAAGTAGTATATTGAAGGGATTATAGTTTACTTTGAGTTTTCCACAGGTTGGGGGATGCAATTAATATTCATTCTCTTCAGTATATATGAAGGACGACATTATACTTGAATAGATACAAACATATATGCACGATAAAATATGACTTTAAAACATAAAGTATTAAAAATGACCAACTTTTTGTTTTATTGAGATAAACTGTCCAAGTATACTACTTTAAAAAACCGAAACATTGATAAAATGGAGTAAATAATAGTAGATATTTCTCCAATTATTATTGATAAATAACAACGTATATGAAAATAGTTCATCTAATTATGTTACTATTCATGATAATGATCAAATTTAAACAAAACAAAAAACTGGTTCAAGCTTTAGTTATTTCAGTAAAACAGCTTGTTAAATTGTCAATATTTGTGAAATCAGTCGTTCTGTTGCAAATCAACACAATTACTAACTCACACCAAATGAATTTCAGAAATAGTGACAAAAATGCAACAATAGAATTGCTATTAGAATAAAGTTTTATCATAAGAAAATGAAATAAATGCCTTCAATACAATCACTGAAGATAAGGTAAATGCAGTTCCATGTTAATACTTTAATTTTATTCAAATATCTTCGTACAGAATAACAAAATCAGTAAACAAAAACAAAAAAAGACAGTTAAAGAAGAATTGGAAAAATTTAGTTCAATGTTCATTCAACACATTGACAATTTAACACTACTTATCCAGTCAACACAACAACATTCATATTTACCGCTTAAATTAAATTAAAATTAAATATTCAATTTCTACGAAATATATTCTGCACAAAAGTATAAAATTTGCTTCTTATCGTGTCAACATAAAATAATAAAGCAAATAAATGAATTAACATTTCAATTGATCCCAAAAAATCATTCAGAATAACAATTAATCGGGCTAAATAAGAATAACCTTGAAATTGTAATAAAAGCGCTTCAAATAAATCGCTGAAATTCAATAGCAGTGATATAATCGACCAGATAATAATAATAATTGTAATATTATTTTGTCGACTTTTATAAATATGATCATTTGGTAAATTTATAAGTCTATGATTCGTTTTATTACGATATAACTTCCAAAAGATAATAGTTAAACATACTAATTCAATTAGAATTGGCAATAGTATAGTAAATATCACGGATAATAAACTGAAGGCTAAATCAACAATATACGAATGTTGATTTAAGTCATAAATATCCAGGACACATGAACCATCCGGTGTAACATGTACATGTATTGTAATCCCCATATTTATGGCTAATAAATACAACAATGTAAATGCATGATAGGCAATAATTGTTTTTGGATAATAGATTAAATCTTTATCTGGCATCAAGGCATAAAAACATCTTTCAATTAGCATACTGACAACATTTTGTTTACAGAATAATTCTAATAAGGTGTATAGAAATGTACTACTCCACATATGACATATCAGTATGTTGAACCATAGTTCAGGTGTACGCTTGATGACTGGACAAAAAAAGTGAATAATTTCACCAAGTGATTTAAGCCATTCGAATGTGATCTGTAGCATAATTAACAGGCTGAGTAGTTGACCAGGCAGTGTGATATTCAATATTAAATAGATAAAGAATGGATTGATCAGTGTACTGACAAATGATAAACTTATCGAGGCATATTTAAATTCTTTCAATCCTACACCCGAATAGATAAGACCATTCTCGCCAACTTCACTTGGTTCACACATAGTATCACTGAGACAACGACAACGATATTGATGCTAATATATTGAAGAATTAATCAGATATGTTCAAAATTCAATGCAGAGTACAAAACAACACATATACACAAATACTTTTTTTTGTTTAACTGGAATAAGTCCACTAGATAGGGAAAGAGTGAATGTTTTTTGCGCGTTATTTATATAACCACCGTCCAGTATTGTTTTTTTTGTGATAGACACACCTGTTGTTACAGTGGAGAAAAAGAAATAAGTAAATAAATAAATAAATAAAATAAGAGTGTTTGTTTCAAAACACTTTAGAATGAATGAAATTATAAAATGCATTTAATTGGTTTTTACGCCTGTCTCAAAAGGAATTTATTTATTTAATTACCCATACATCTAATGAAACAGATTTTATTGGTTGGTTGGAGGATTTCATCATCATCAACTGTTGGAAAACCAACTGGGAGTACTGGAGATCAGTTTCGTCCCGGTTCGGGACTCTTCAGTAGTACGCACCCACACCGCGGGGTTCGAACCCACGGCCTTCTGGTTACGAGGCCACTGGGACCCAATCCAAAGGGCTAGTGCATGAATTCTAACTTCTACCAAGTCACGACATAGCGCGACTACTTCGCAATGTCTTCTTCGATGCGTAACTGTCCCCGCCTTCGACCTGCTGTACCCTTTTGAAAATAATTAAATAAAATAATCATGTACCCTAGTCACAGACTCTGAAGGATGCCAATGTAATCACAGAATATACAGGGTGGGTGGATGTGTGTGTGAGAGAATTGAGTAAACCATATTCTTTTATGTTGGAAACTTTGGCCAGTTGAAACGAATCTACAAGTATTGTCTTTCTATACAGTGTGTTCATAGAGTTCATGTGTAAAACTGAAATAGTGGTGAAGATAAATATTAGAATATGTGATAAGGACAGGATCTTCGAAGTCGGCTGGCAGCAAGAAACATACATAATCAATAGTAATAATAATAGTATTTATGATACAGTATGGAATTCTCAGCCTTTGGTACGATATTGCATCTAATTTACTCGACAATGGGTAAAAAAACATTAAAAATTGCATTACAGGATTAATATCGGCAGATTGTTTTGGTATTTGCAATGACAGTAAAGTCCAAAATGTACAAAAAGTGTAAAATAATGATAATAACTTTAATAGCTAAGTTATGATTTAATTGTAATAGTGTCACCATGGATTACGAATAGAAGAGAAAATAAAAGAGTCAATGATTTTGTTAAATATTTAAATGGGAGTTTAGGTATCCCACCGTTCAAACAGGCCGCCATCTCTGTTGGTTACAACAGTAACGAGCTGATTTACTAGCACACCACTTGTCCTACTAACAACCTTCAATACCCTTCACAATATGACATAGTCCTTATTGTATTGGCCTAGAAAGACTAAAAGGGAAGCGGGGTAGTAAAGAACAATAAGTAAGATTATTAATATTATTATTGTTCCCTTGGGTTCCTAGTGGAACATAGGGCTTCAACTGCACGTCTCCACTTGCTTCTGTCTTCTGCTGTACTTTTCACCTGCATCCATGTTAATCCATACTGTTTCAGTTCCTGTTCACACGATCTCCTCCATGTCACCCTTCGACGTCCCACTCGTCGCTTCCCTTTCGGATTCCACTCGAGCACTGGCCTGACGCGCGATGTCACTCAGCGGCCTCCTCAGCGAGTGTCCAATCCATCTCCACTTTCTCCCACATATTCGTTAAGCAATAGGTTCACCCCTTCAGTTTCTTGTTCCTAACTATTTTTAACCGTCAATCTCGCCATCACTATGGGGCCACCGAAGGCAGTTATTGAAAAAGTCTACAGTGGACTGTTGGAAATGCTCTGCAAGACTCGCGTGTGCCATGTTTGCTACCTATAATGAAGAACCAACTGACTGACTGACTTAACATTGGTGTTGAAAATCCGAATTCCGTTGTTTATGCTGCAGAGTGAAGTGCGGGAGATTTCCAAACTGATTTCAGATTGATGAGTGTCTTTCTTGCCATTCCGATATTGTCTGGTTTTGACATTCACATCCATGCCGTATAGCTGTAGTTGAAACAATGCCGCCTAGATAAGTGGAACTGAATTTTTTCAAGCTTGTCCAGTTATTAGTCATTGGTGCTTCTCCCTGTTGTTGGTTGGTTATCTTCCTTATCTTCGTCTTCTCTATGTTCACTTGAAGTCCTTTCTTTGATGTCTGCCTCTTCACCTCTAAGTCTTCAAACTTATGTGACATTAGACGTGAATCGTTCGCGAAGTTCAGATTTTCTAGATTCGTCTTATCAGTCTGACGTATTGCTGTCTTCTCTCTCTCTCTCTCTCCCAGGAATGGTGTTCCGCACAATCCAGCCCACCACACTTAGGAATAGCGTCGGTGATACTAAGCAGCCTTGCCTTACTCCTGTCTTCATTTCAGAGGCCTCGCTGAGTTTCCCGTTGTGGATAACCTGACACATGGCACTGTTATACAGATGCTGAATGAAGCTGACAAAGATCTGGGCACTGCAGTGTGTAGTGCTGAAACATTTTTCAAATTACTTCTCGGTCAACGCTGTCTCATGTCTTTTCGAAGACGATGAAGTTGAGGTAGAGGTTTGACTGCCATTCTATGCTTTGTTCTATGACGATGACACATAGAGTTGCGGTTTGATCCGCACATAATTTACTTTTCGTGAATCCAGTTTGTCTCAGGCGGATTCGGGCATCCAGTGCATCCTTTATTCTCTCCAGGATGACACGGCTTGGTATTTTATTTGGTGTGCATAAGAGTATCATCCTACAATTAATAGTATTCTCTGAGCTGGTTGGTTTAGTTGCGGAACTGTCGTCGTCCTTCTGGACAACATCCCCCTTCAGCGCAATTTTTAGCGTAAAGTGAAATAATTTAAATTTCTTCATGAGTGATAGAATCGCGTCTCCCGGTAACCATCTCTACATATGTGTTGATCATTTTCTATTGAGTTGGATTTTAAACTTTCTGGTCACTTGATTTACTTTTTATTAGTTGGTATATTTGGTCTATATTAATATGTTTGTTAATTGCCTTTTCGTCTGAGTACCAGGCTTCTAGGAATTCCTTGACTGCACTTTTGGTGTTTCCTCTGTATAAGATTTTGGCATTATCTCAATCAAAATGATGTCCACAATTATCTACATGGATTGATATGAAAGAATACATATCGTGTCTTTTCACGGCCGATTTGTGTTCCTGAATTCTGATTCGGAGGGGACGCCCACTTTACTCGATGTAAATTGTATGAACTGTAACAGGAATTACAATGACAAGATATCTAGTCAACTCAGGACATTTAGCTTCATTCGAAAAATCCTTCAAAGTAATATTAAAGATTCGATCAAACCTATCAAAGGGAGTAAAATTAAGACATCTGGGCATAGCCGAGTAACTATCTCTCCAAAAGCTCAAACCCATGCTACATATTCAAAAGAAATACGTCCAAACCTTGTCCCTGCCATGGCTATCATAAACAGGTAATTCTTCTAATAGTGTCTATCCCATCGCCTTTCTCATCCAAACTTCCTGTTTATTCATGTTATTTTTAAGTTTTTACTAATCCTTATTTACACTACCATATTTTCATATCCTAACTTCCTGTCTACTTTGTCATTTTACTATTTCTACATATTTAATCCCTGATTGTATAAACAATTATTCGTCACATTAGTTATCATCCCACTAGATTTTTTTATACAGACCTCCTGTCCATTTTTGTTATTTCTACATTTCTAAACTCTAATTGTACAATATGTAAATCTTCCCAATAATTATGACGCTACTTTGTTTGAGTTTTATCCGCTTCCCCACCTGTTTATTATGGGATTTTAATTCCTAATTGTAATTTTATTAATTTGATCCTTAACTGGAAATAGTTCTAGAATTTTCCCACCCATTTACCATAAATACATGAATGTACAGCCTAGTTGATGACTTCGTCGAAAAGAAAATTTTCTTCGCTGCAGCTGTCTTTTTATTATTCCATATGATCACATTTGTATATACCGGGTAGAAATTTATTAGATTTATTAAATTAAACAATAAAAATACATCTGAGAAGTAATTCCTTCAGGTAGTTAGTGGGAAGAGGAACTTCTACATTGCTGGTTTCGATGTAATCACAGATGAATCATATTGTTTCAGTTAGGGGGATACCTGTTTATTTCACTGCAAGTTTCGTATCTAACTAACTAATGTAGTACTAACAGTTACAGAAATTATTTCTAAAACGTTTTATTTAATGGTAAGGTTCATTCAGTTGTACGATACACTAGTAAACAGTTTCAAGTATTATATTATTATTGTCTCCTTTAGTTCCTAGAGGAACATAAGGCTTCAGCCGCACGTCTCCATTGCGTTCCGTTCTCCGTCAACGTTTTCACCTGGCTCCAAGTCTGCCTACATGCTTTTATCTCCTCTTCACATCACTTCCTCCCCCATGTCACCCTCGCACTGATGACCAACTCGCCGCTTCCTGTTCGGGTTTCACTCGAGTGATGGCCTATCGTGTGATGTTACTTGAGGGATTGTTTTCTCAAAGTATGGCTAATTTACCTCCATTTCTTCCTGCATATTTGCTGTACAATCGGTTCCTGCTGGGTTGGTTCGTTCATTGCTAGAGATCCCTCACTATTGCTGATCTTTTCTGGTTGGCCATCTGATCTTGAGTATTGAGCGATGGCAGTTGTTGATGAAGGTGTGTAGTTTGTTCGAAGTACCCTTCGTGACGCAGAGCGGCGCCAAGTCTCTGATCCGTATAGTAGCACTGACTGACTTCACATTGGAGTTGAAAATCTGGATCTTATTTTTAATGCTGACTGCTGTTGATCTCCACACATACTAGAGAGAAATGAAAGCTTGCCTTGCTTTCCCGATCCTCACTGCTTTGATATTCTCATCAGTTCCGTCTGCCTGTAGTTGAAACAACGTTTCCCAGGTAGGTAGGTTAAGGAGGTTGCTTCTTTCAGATTTCTCCCATCTATACTGATTGTTCGTTTTAATTTATACTTTTTAGTTATGAATATTACTACAATTTATCCTGTTATTCTATGTGTTTATGAAACTGATCACTACAGAAACTGTATTTAAGCCCCCCCTCCCCCGCGAAAATTATGACTGATTTCCTTCCTGCTTATATTATTAAAGCGAGAAAGAATGAATCAAAGCAGCAAACTATTTTTTTTCTCAATGTCTGCAGT